ATCCTAAAAAAATGTTCATAAATTTTGGTGATCAATGACAATGTATTGCTTCTGACTTTGGTGCATGTAGATATGTATTATTTGACGATCCAAATTTTTAAATTTTCAATGCAGCTTGTTTTCGCTGTTTTCACTGGAGAGGCCTGGGGCTATCTTGGTAGCAGGAGATTTTTGCTTGAACTTGATCTGCAGTCTAATGCTGTTAGTGGTCTTAATTACTCATTGATTGAGAAGGTAAACTTCTGCTCGAGATGTTATGGAAGTAAACTATTATAATCTCAAAGGTCTGTTATTGTAAATATACTCAATCAGTTAAATGCTATACCCAGCCAGTGGCCTAAGCATTGCAAATTTACAACTTACGTGATCCTCCTGACCAGAATCCTCAAATGCATCAGTTATAGGGAGATATAAATTTCCATTCCTCCCTTTCTGTTCAGGGAGAATTCTTTTTTGTGTCATGTTAAAGATCCCTCCCCTTTTTCTCTCACATTGTACTGAAACATACTGTGCTTCGTGTAGTGTAAATTTGAGTATTATGTTGGGTTATTTGGTTGATTTTCTTGTAATTTAGTTGGATCTTCTGCATAATACATCAGTATTCCTTTTGAGGAGCCCACTAAATGGTAATTGGATGCTTGTCTGTAGGTTGTGGAAATTGGATCTGTCGGAAAGGGCCTGAACCAAGGAGCTAAGAACTTTTTCATTCATACAACTGGGGTGAGAAAACTTGTTCCCTGCAATTCAATTTTTACGCACATACTAGTAACTTCTGCAACTCTGCCTTGGAATTGTATCTTGCATAATATAACTGCTTTCATATCTGGCACAAGTGAAATATAAGTTATGTATGCTTGTGGAAGAAGTTGGGTGATAAGATTCCTTACGGTTTTCCCTGTGCATGTCTAAAATTCATTCTCTATATCATGATAGAAATACATGAACTTTTTGTTCTCGTCATTGGTCGATGATGGTTTACCCTTTCCACGTCTGATCTCCAATCATTCACGATTGACTAGATAATTGATGCGATGCAATAATATGCAAATTCTGAATTTTCCCTCTATGAAACCTACATTAGAAGAAGCTCTTGGGAAGATAACAGAAAGATCTCTCTTCTTTATTATCATTAAGTGCCTTCACATTTGGTGTGGTTACATTTATTCCAAATTTGCCTTCTGTGAAACCTACAGTAGAAGAAACTGTTGTGAAGATCACATAGAGGCTCTCTTCTTTATTATCATAAAGTGCCCCTCCATTCAGTATGGTTATATTGCTCAAGGTGTTATTTGTAGGTTTCATCTTCCACAAATGAGACATTGGACGCTGTGAGGCGTGCCCAAGATTCTGTCAAGTCTGAAAACATTACGATCTCGTCTGCAAATGCTTCAAATCCTGGGATACCTCCATCCTCCTTGATGACTTTTCTGAGAAAGGTATGTAACAGTACAGTCCCTTACTCTTTTCAGTTAATTTTCAATTCTGACTCCCTTCATCTACATGATTACAACAACAAAGAGCATGTAATGTTGTAGCTGGCCTAGGGTTTGATAGCCACACCTCTCCTGTAAAAAGTAGGTGCATAATTCATTAAAAAAAATGATGAATTTGTGACTTAAAAGAGAACTTTGGTTTGATAGCAACGTAAACTACTCTTGTGCAATGTCCCCTTGAATTTATCCCTAGAACATTCATCATCCGGAGGTATTGGATGTCTCATTCCATGTTTGGTTGTACCCAGTGCACAAGGCTCCCGCTTTACGCAGGGTCTGGGAGAGGTGAATGTCTCATTCCATGTAGAAGTTTTATTTTATTGAATCCACACAACCTTGAACTCAGGAAGGATTAATTTTTTTTTTTTTTTTTGGTAGCTCATGTTGTTCCTGGGCCGTATATTTATGCATTTTTTTCTTTTATTTAGCTTTTTGTTCTGTTTGTAGATATTGAATGCTCAAGAATATAGAAATCGTTTTTCATTGTTGATTTCATGGAACTCTCAATAGCTCTTTTACTCTTAACAGAACTCTCTAACCTCTGGGGTTGTGTTAGAAGATTTTGATAATGTCTTCACCAACAAGTTCTACCACAGTCACCTTGATGATTTATGTGAGTTTATTTGTATTCTTTTGTTCTTTCTTGGTTAATCATCTTGATGCTACATGGTGATCCAAAATCTCATTTGTTTCATTCATACTTTGAAACTTCACTGCAGCAAATATCAACTCATCATCCATTGCGGCAGCTGCTTCCCTTGTAGCACGTGCCCTTTACATTCTTGCAAGTGACACCAAAAATTTAAGCAGTTCTGCTCTGACGTCTATCAACGTGAATGCTTCACTAGTTGAAGAACTAGTGGGTTGCCTGGTGGACTGTGAGCCAGGTCTTTCTTGTGATCTAGTGAAAAGCTATATATCACCAGCCAATACCTGCCCGAGCCATTATGTTGGCGTTATCCTTGATGAACCTTCCTCCACACCTGATCTGGGATACGTTGGTGACATTTCAAGGTTCGTTTGGAACTTCCTGGCCGAAAGAACTTCTATTCCGAAGGAAAATGCGAGCTCTGTTTGTACTCAAGACTGCAGTAATGATGGTGAAGTATGTATTAGAGCAGAAACAGAGGGAAAGGGTGTCTGTGTTGTCTCCACAACCAGGTACGTAACTAGAAATTGCAGATCCATTATAACAAGCATGCTTAATCAAATTGTGTTTAGTGTATGACGTATTCAATGGAATAAACCGCACCTCATCATCCTGGTTGAGGGGTCTGACCTGCTTGCCAGGTCATATTGGTTGGAACTTCCATCCCAAAATCCTGCTTTTGTTCAGGCCAACCTTATATTTGTCGACTGTAGGTCGAGGCCAATGTTTTTATTTCCTACTCTGCCAGCCTAACTAGCATGTGCATGTTTTCGGGCCTTTGCAACTGTCTAGCGAGGTGTAGTAGGGTTTAAAGTCAAATAAAAGTTGCCAATCTGTATAATTTTTTTAATGCTTGTGCTTTGATCATGCAGATATGTTCCGGCATACTCAACACGGTTGAAATTTGAATCTGGTGGAACGTGGACTGTGTTGCCTCCGAATAACTCTGACCCCATGGGGCTGTTGGACGCTGTTTGGACAGAGAGCAACTGGGATGTGATCGGGCTTCGGGTCTACACTGTCCAAAATTCTTCTTTCGATCGTCTCGTCTTGCTCGGGAGCATTGCTGTTACAGTCTTGGCTTACCTTGCAATAGTGATTTTCAAGGGCTGCGTGACGAAGGCTTTAAAACGCGATTGATAAAGTTGAAATTGTGTAGATCAGTGATATGTTTTGTTTTGTTGTTACAGTTGCATGCATGGAAATACTAGAGCATTGCCGTTGCTGTAATACTGTTCAATGTCTCTTAAGATCTTGATATCTTCGCTTTTGAAAAAGTCTGTACTCATTAAAAGTGCTTTTAAGACGGCTGATGGTACTTTTGCTGAAAGTATTGTGGATTCTAAGAGCCCTTGAAGTGTATTTTAGAAGAAGCATCAGTCATGTATTTCTTGTAGAAAACACTTCCAAGTGTTTTTCTAGTATTCACTTACAGTTTTACTATAAATTAGTTTTAAAAATATTTTCATCAAAAACGCTTTTAGTCATTCATAAAGCACTTGACACACATTTTATCGCCACACCCTGCGAACTCATAAAGGTGGCATAGGGCATCAAACTTCCCTTCTCCTGCAACCGCAACCCCTTTTTCGTTTCAACTAAGCATGGCTTATCTTTTAAGTATAATAACACAACTTCGAAACCATTTCGGTATGGGGTGTGATATTCACACACCTCTTTTTACTTCTCTCACACCTTTTTAATTTTCGATCGTTGAATCAGATGATTTAAAGAAGTTCAAATGATAGAAATTAACAAGGAGTGTGGGAGACCTAAAAAGGAGTGTGGATAGCACACCCCTTTCGGTATTACCATTAATTCGGGACGTGGCAACAATTACTGTTCGGACGCAGGGGTATTTTCCAACAAGCCCAAATTAGGAACGTGACACTATATGTCAAATAAAAATAAAACTCACTAATACAAGTAAAAAGTATTGGGGATCTCTTTGGAGGAGCTTCGCTCTTGTACGCATCAAAAGACAATAAAAAACGATTGAGATGTGCGGGAGAGAACCAGGCCTCTTCTGATTGTTTCTCTTAATAAGGGGAAAATGAATTGGATTAATACTCAATCTCGTATGATTCTCTAATCTCCTTCTAATTCAATTCCCTAGTGCGGGTACTGATAGGATTTCACAGTTACTCAAAGGCCATAGGAAATTGATTACAGATGGTACAATCCAATAACTCACGGAGATTGTCTTTAGTGGTTCCCTAGTCAAAGATATAACATCTTTTCTTTTTTTTATTAATAAAAAAATGGGGACAACTGGTGGTAAGTCACGGTTATCCACTCCTTCTAGGTCAAAATATAATATCTATTCAATTAGTTAAGGGTTTAGGGAGTTTGTCCAATACTCTAGTGGATAAGGTGTTGAGTTTTTACTTATGCCTCCTAAGTTTGAAAAGCCCTCATCTCTTAAATTATTGTATTCGAACCCTTCCCTTCCCTAAGTAATAATAAATTTAAAAAAAAAATTGTGAAGTAGGGAATAATTGGATAAACTACAGACGATAAGATCAACTTATCTTGTCCTGAAAGAACAATAGATCACATCTCAATTAGATTAGTCTTTCAAAATTCAAATCAACTTATCAATGCTTTAGCATCCGATAATATATATCTGTTTTGGCAATCGGACGGACAGTAGTGAGTATGGCAACCTTTCATTAATATTAGCCGTTTGATATTAGCTAGAATTTATACGTACTAACATATGCATAAATTAGTTTGCCTACTTTGTTTCGGTTTCGGATACCCAACAAACTGATGTCAGTTAGAGTTATATCGGAATATGGATGGTTGACAGACGCTAATTGAACTCTATATAAAGGGTTGGACATTGACCATTTAATAATTAATTTGATCTGTTTCACAGAAGCAGCGTTTTATAGATCGATAAAGTGATCTCCATTGCAAGAGTTAGAGAAAGTGAGTTGAAGATGGCGAATTCAGTGAGTCCACTAATTGTAGCGTTCGGGGAGATGCTCATCGACTTTGTGCCAGACACGGCCGGAGTTTCGTTGGCCGAGTCCACGGGGTTCCTCAAGGCCGCCGGCGGTGCACCTGCCAATGTGGCTTGTGCCATCACCAAGCTTGGTGGTAAATCGGCTTTCGTTGGCAAGGTAATAGAAACTAGACCGACCCGTCCATCTGATATTTTATTTAATTTTATGATTTAGAAATCAATCAATTAATTAGTTTTGTTTTAATTTCTTGATTCATAATTCATCTAGGTTGGAGATGACGAGTTCGGACACATGCTGATCAACATATTGAAGAAGAACGGGGTGAACGCAGAGGGAGTGTGCGTGGATAAGCATGCCAGAACAGCTTTGGCGTTCGTGACCTTGAAGAACGACGGTGAAAGGGAGTTCATGTTTTACCGGAACCCAAGTGCTGATATGTTGCTCAAGGATTCGGAGCTAAACATGGGTCTTATCAAGCAGGCTAAGATATTCCACTACGGATCCATAAGCCTCATAGCCGAGCCATGCAGATCGGCTCATATGGCAGCCATGAAAGCCGCTAAGGAAGCTGGCGTTTTGCTTTCCTACGATCCCAACGTCAGGTTGCCCCTCTGGCCCTCTGCTGATGCTGCTAGGCAGGAGATCAAGAGCATATGGAATCAGGCTGATTTCATCAAGGTACCAACACTTAACACATATATACTCATATCGATTTCTTTCTGTATAAGATTAATACACTATGATGATATATATTTATATATGTATGTATGTATCTGATCCGATCTATGTTATATATACTCATATCGATTTCTTTCGGTATAAGATTAATACACTATGATGATGATATATATATATATATATATATGTATGTATGTATGTATCTGATCCGATCTATGTTCTTCTAAAACTAAATATATTGGTAGCTAGATACGTATGAATATACGTAGTTGTTTGCGTTTTTGATGATTAATTAGTATATTCCTATATGGATATGTATATAGGTGAGCGACGATGAGGTGAACTTCTTGACGCAAGGAGATTCTGATAAAGAAGATGTGGTTCTGTCCCTGTGGCATGACAACCTCAAACTGCTCGTGGTCACTGATGGTGAGAAGGGCTGCAGATATTACACTAAGGTACGTTCGTACCCTAAACCTACTTCTTCTCATATCTTTCACAACATGTATACACACACTTGCAGATGACGATAATACAATATAAATGTATATATGACAGAAAATGTAAATTAATGATCATGTCATGATACTATATGTGCAGAAATTCAAAGGAAAGGTGGCCGGCTTCTCAGTTAAAGCCGTGGACACAACCGGCGCCGGTGATTCTTTTGTTGGTTCATTTTTGCTTTCCATGGCCAATGATATGTCCATCTTTGAGGTGATTACATTCAGTCCCAATCTAGACACTTCTTACTTTTTGGTTTCTATTTTCTGGGTTTTAAACTTTTAATTAACTTAATTATTCGTGCACATATATATATATATATATATATATATAGGACGAAGCAAAATTGAAGGAGGCTCTGAGTTTTGCAAATGCTTGTGGAGCTATATGTACAACTCAAAAGGGTGCAATTCCAGCTCTTCCAACCCAGTCTGATGCCCATGAGCTCATTTCCAAGTCCAAAGCCAAATAGATCCATCCATCCATGTTTTGATTTCCATCTTTAATTTGTTTAGCACCACATCCAAACCCTTTTTAATTAATTGTTTATTTTCTGGTTAGCCTAGTTTTTGAGGATAATGAGTAATAATATTTCAAATTTGTTAATTTCTCTATATTTTATGCTAAGCCTCTCCTCTCGCTCTAGCTATTCATATTCGGTTAATCTGTTGTGCACTTTTTATTTTATTATTGTAGAACACGTTATTCCAATTCTTTAATTTGAAAATACCACTACAAAGACAAAAACTTTACTTTTTTTAAACATATTTTCCATATCACACTTGTATCACTTCTCTAATAGGGATGAAACCATATGTATTGATGGACTCTACCTATTAGAGAGGTTGTACAAATGTGATAAAAGAATGTGATAAGTGTAGTAGTACTTCGACCAAAATAGGTTTTGTCATAACCACACTGACCAATAGCTCGTTTGAAAGTGACTGAAAATGTTTTTAAAATGACTAAAAGCATGTTTTTAGGTTCTAAAAGCAAATGTTTTATGTAAGAATCACATAACTAGTGATTCTTGAAGGAAGCTCATTAATTACTTTTACAAGATTCACTTGCATTTTTATTAAGGATTAATTCCAATAAAAAATTTGCTAGAAGCGCTTTCAGTCATTTTAAAAACATTTCTAAACGAACTCTAAAATATGCACTTTCTAAATTAGAATAGTTTACCCAATTTTCATTTTTTATATTTTGCTTGCCATCCCGGAAAGGGATCTCTCCGGATCCATTCCTTCTAATCCACCAAATCAGGGAATATGTGCCATTGAAATTCGATCCAACGGCTGACGTTATTATACTTTTAAAGTGGGCCTTTGTTTGTAACCGTTAGATCAAATTTCAATGGTACGGATTCTCTAATTTGGTGGAATAGGAGGAAGGGATCCCGGATCCCTTCCTTCCATCCCTACTTCTTTTGTTATACTTTACCTTTCGTACTTTCTATTCTTTTGCACCCTAGAATTCTTCAACGGATTCTCTCATCTCCTAATCTTTCTTCATTTTTCCCTCCTCCTATTTGAATGGTTATGGTTAAACGACATCAACATCTTATATTGATCTTTTTTTATAGAGATAATAAGACAAAAAGTAATATACATGGTAAGAGAGGGGAAGAAAAGATGATGAGAATAGAAAGAGAGAGAGTTCTATTCTGAATTTCTCAAGGACAGCTAATTTCTTGACGTTTTGCTCAATTTTCCGGTTGACTTAAGTACAAAAATTACTCCTCGTAATCTTCTTTACATACTGCATTTTATTGGGCATTCATCAACGATGGAGCTCTCAAATTTCAAATTTCATCAAAGAGAAAATGGCAGGAAAGTAAAGAAATTAGAAAGCATTCGTATTCATCCTGCCCTTTCTTTTGACAAGACATTCATCCTCCTGACAATGGTCCCGACTGGCCATATAACTTAAAATCTGAAAATCCCAAAGGATAATTAAGATATGATGTAGATGGGTGTGATGTTGGACATGATAGCCTGGTATGACTATGAATTTGTTTGGAATCATACCCTTTTCATCCCCTTTTATTTTTGTGGTTATGGTTAAGCCACGTCAACCTTTTATATTCCTATTATTTTTTGTCTTATTATTTCAATAAAAAAATTAATATAAAATGTTGACGTAGCTTAATTATGACCACAGAAATATGAAGGGATGAGAAAGGTATGAAATGGGAAGGGCAAACAATTCAAGTCCTTTGTAGTGGGGCCAATACATAGAATAAATTTTTAATATTCTAGAAACACAACGTGATATGCAAAGTGTTATTACGCCAAGTGTCACAATAGTATAATACAGGTGGTTATAAACTTTTTTTTTTTCAAATTCCAGCCAATTGTATACTCAATGTACCAAACCGTGCTCTGCACGCTGACAAATCTCTCAATATGTAGAGACCTATTATTACCTACTTGAATCATTTTTTTTTCTTTCTTTTTTTGTTTGATTAAAAAGTTTAAATGTATGGTCGGACAAGTCATAAATAATTTTTTTGGTTTTTATCACAAATGATCACTGAAATTAATCATCACCATCAAGATGGTCTCTAAAATTAAAAATCAATCAATGTAGTCCTTGAAAATAGGTGTCGCAAATCGATGTGATACTTCCGTCACAATTTTGTTAAAAATTCTGTTAAGTGCTAATGTAGCACATAAATGGGCCCCATATTTTTTTTCTTACAAATGGTCCTTAAAATTGACTCGTGACATCAAAATAGTCCCCGAAATTAACCCATGAATTCAAAATAGTCATTGAAATTAAAAATGGATCAATGTAGTCTCGCAAAAGTATCTCAAATCAATATAGTCCTTCAATCATAATTCTGTCAAAAATTATGTTATGTGCTAATGTGACACATAAATGAGTCACGTCACACAAGTCTAATTAAATTTTAAAAAAATTACAAATATGCTTAATAATTTAATAGTTAATAAGAAAAATGTCAACCCAAAAACCCAATCTTGCAATCACCGTTGATCTCTGTCCACATTTTTCTACCTCCTTCGCTTTCTATTCTCTAAAAAATTCTCAATACACCCATCTTTACACACTTCGACACCTTTGCCGAATTAAACCTGGATCGAGATCACCTTTAGTGACGGCTTGGCCGATTGGCAACGACTTCTAAGACATCACAATTAATATTTAGGCAATCAACATCCTCACAACCTTAATCTTAGAGAACTTGTTCGGCGCTTCCTTGGTGGTCTGGTGATGCAAAGAATGGCAAGGTCTGCCTTGAGATAATGAGGTTATAAATGAGGTGCATCTATTGTTGGTTGAAAACTATTTCCATACCCCCTCTTAGGCCTTGGTTAAGACCTAGTTTGGGAGTGAGGTGCTTAAAAAAAAAGCACCCATGAAAAAAAGCTGTGAGGGTTTTAGGTGTTTGGTAAATTGAAAAAAAATGGCTTATTTTGGAAGCTGCTGTGAGAATAAGCTGAAATCAAAGGAAAAAGCTGAAGCTGCTATTTGCAGCTTTGGAAAACTGGCTTTTTTTCAAAGCACACGGAGCTACAGTGCTTCTTTAATGAAAAGACCAACTATTAGACTGCTTTTTTTTCCAAAAGCAGTTTTACAAAAAAGTTTACCAAACACTCTGCTGATTTATTTCACAGCCGCTTATTCTCACAGCAGTTTTTTTTCAAAGCACAGCAATACCAAACCAGCCCTAAGTCTTGTGTCTTTGGAGAATTTATGGAAGTGATCTCTTTTCGAAATAGGCCCTACTATAAAAAATAAAAATAAAATCCGTTGTGCAAAAAGGTATTTAGACAACCTTTTTTATTAATTATTGAACCCACATCAACACATAACAAATTTTTTTATAGAATTGTGACAGATGAACCACATTTATGTGTCACATCAGCACTTATCGGAATTTTTAGAATTGTGATGGAAAGACTACATTGATTTGCAACACCTATTTTCAAGAACTATATTAATTGATTTTTAATTTCATGGACCATCTTGTAAGGGTTAATTTCAAATATCATTTGTGATAAAAATCCTAATTTTTTTTTTTAATAAGAGGTATGTTTTATATTCACCCAGCAGTCAATTTCAATTGGGAAAAGAGGAATTTGCCCCTATCCATATTTGCTTAACCCCTTGTCCACATGCTTAGAGCTATGAAAATTATACAGGAGTTGATTTGTTGAGATCTATGAAACTACCTAGTTAGTGAAAATCAAAAACAAAAACAATATATCGGAAGTGACCTTCGCTCCCCTTTTGTCCTCTTGCACTCTTCTGTTTAGTTATGTCCGTTAATTCTGCTTCGGTCAACTCAATACTAAAGCTAGAAGAAAGGGAGTGCTAGAGGGTAATAAAAGTGGTGTAAAAATCATTTCACAAGAAAAATGCATATATGTAAAGATAACCTGCCTTAAATCACTAGTTGTATACAACCATGTGTAACGAGAGAGAGAGAGAGAGAGAGAGAGAGAGAGAGAGAGAGAGAGAGAGAGAGAGAGAGAGAGAGAGAGAGAGAGAGAGAGAGAGAGAGAGAGAGAGAGAGAGAGAGAGAGAGAGAGAGAGAGAGAGAGAGAGAGAGATGGTTGTACAAAACTGGTGACACTCAAGGAGATGGTTGTACAAAACTGGTGACACTCAAGAATCGTATGTAAACCAGAAATAAGATGCTGAAAAGAGTGAATAACCATTTAGGTTTTTTTAATTTTGTAAGTAGCTCTATCATTGTTAATAAGAAAAGCAATAACGTCCCGCATCAAAACTTGGAACGCCAGAAGTTACAGTTTAGTTTCAAAGGCAGTAACGTTGGGGCAATGCATGTTTTATAGACATGATCACATCATCTTCACCAAGTCTGTTGTCAGGAACAGAATATTACCCAGCACAATATTAGGTATCACAATAACAGTCTGAGGTTCTTACAAGATCAAAACACCAAAAGCTCCTTCATTCGTTGGCAGCTGTATCCTCAGAAGCCGGACTTCCTCCATCTACGCAAAGTAGTATAACAACGTAAATGGCTTTTCTTTTCTTTCTTTCCTTTTTAAATATTCGGAGAAACAATTTGGAAAGAACAGTTCATTAACGGAAATGGCTTTATGGAATTCTAATGTTTAGCATACCTTCACCATCTGCTGGAGCACAAGGAGACTTTCTGTATCGTGTTTGCTGCTGTGTGGGCTGAAGCACGAAACAAAAAAGAGTATTAAAGCAGCAATAAAATAACTAAGGAGAACCATGGAATGTCTAAATTATGTCCTTGAAACCGCTAATGCATAAGAGGGTAGGAGGTGAGGAGGAGAGCAGATTGACACGAATAGAAAAATATGAATATTGATGTATCTAATCCGAAAACATAAAGGATTTGTTCCAACTCTAGCATCATGCTCCAGCAAGATTATACTTAAGATGCAACTACTTGGCATGGTGCCATTTATATGCAATACTTATCAAAGAGAATGGTATTCTTCTGCTACATCACACTCCAAACAATATATCATGAATTTTAGAACATCGTTGTCTTGTGGTGAGCGCATACAAGTTTGCCATCTCATCTAAAAGCCTGATACTGTGGCCTAATCAAGACTTCCGAACAACATTGTATTCAACCAAAGCTACCTAACTACCAATAATACTAAAGTAACTTCATCTGCTTCTCGTGCCAAAATCAGTAAATAGCCGTCAACTAGTTGACATCACAGCATGTAGATTATTAAATACAGAGTTTTTAACATACCACAAAACATGGTTCAACAGGTCCAAAAACTCTCGAAAGCCAAATCCGAATGATAAGGTGGACACAACCAAGACAGAAAATGGGAAATACCTGTAATTTTGGCCGAAGGGCTTCAAGTGGTCCTTTTGGCTTTTCAACACCTTGCTGTTATCATCCAAAAATCATCAAATGATATGAAATCATTAACAAAATAATTGTTTCCTACTGTTGCAACTGGCGGGTATTGTTAGTGTTGGGAAGGCTACCTTTCCTAGTGCCCAGTCAGCAGAATCAAAATAAGCGCGTTCATGGTCCTGAGATCAATAGAAAAAGTCTTAGACTAAAAACAGTACAGCTAGCATATAATTCGAACAGGACGTAAGATCTGAGCATTATCAAATTCAAATATCACCTTTGAAATTAGTGGTGGTTTTTTTGGAATGATTCCACCATACTTTTTCTTTATAACTTCCTCCTAGAAAAACAAACTTGGGTCAATCCTCTATAGCAGCACAAAGATTTTGATACAAACAATTTTGTACGTATTTCTCCATAAGGTTCTTTACAATAACAAGTATTAAGCATCTTGGGAAACCAAAGTATAATCACAACCTCCTCTGGGGAAGATTTTTCAGACCCCTCATCCACCCGTTGCTCTTTCCCGTCCTCCATCCCCAAAATAACGTCTTTCACACCACCCTGCAAATACAAGCTGCAGCAGCATACTAGTTATTTTCAAGTCATCAACCAATGCGCAATGAAACTAACTCACAACTCACAATGCATCTACTATATATCTGCACATTGCAACCGAATTAAACAAGAGAAATACAACAACAACAACAAAGCCTTTTCCCACTAAGTGGGGTCGGCTATATGAATCCTAGAACGCCATTGCGCTCGGTTTTGTGTCATGTCCTCCGTTAGATCCAAGTAATCAAGTCTTTTCTTAGGGTCTCTTCCAAAGTTTTCCTAGGTCTTCCTCTACCCCTTCGGCCCTGAACTTCTGTCCCGTAGTCACATTTTCGAACCGGAGCGTCAGTAGGCCTTCTTTGCACATGTCCAAACCACCGGAACCGATTTTCTCTCATATTTCCTTCAATTTTGGCTATTCCTACTTTACCTTGGATATCCTCATTCCCAATCTTATCCTTTCTCGTGTGCCCATACATCCCCCGAAGCATCCTCATCTCCGCTACACCCATTTTGTGTACATGTTGATGCTTCACCGCCCCAACATTCTGTGCCATACAACATCGTTGGCCTTATTGCCGTCCTATAAAATTTTCCCTTGAGCTTCAGTGGCCTACGACGATCACACAACACGCCGGATACACTCTTACACTTCATCCATCCAGCTTGGATTCTATGGTTGAGATCTCCATCTAATTCTCCGTTCTCTTGCAAGATAGATCCTAGGTAGCGAAAACGGTCACTTTTTGTGATCTTCGCTAGATTGCTCCGGTCATTAGTGTGGATAAGTATATAAATGGATAGAGATAGGAAAGCAAACACAAGATGTACGTGATTCACCCAGATTGGCTACGTCCACGGAATAGAGGAGTTCTCATTAATTGTGAAGGGTTTACACAAGTACATAGGTTCAAGCTCTCCTTTAGGGAGTACAAGTGAATGATTTAGTACAAATGACATTAGGAAATATTGTGGGAGAATGATCTCGTAACCACGAAACTTCTAAGTCCCGGAGTGTGGTATCGGCTTGACTTTCCTTATCTGTCTCATAGGTAGATGTGGAATCTTCTCTGGAAGTACTCTTCCTCCATCCAGGGGTGGTATCTGTAACTGGTGGAGATGCACAAGGTAATGTATCAATGTTCACTTGAAGCTTACTTGTAGTTTCAGGCTTGGTCAAGCGCGATACAAACCATGTAGTAGGAGTCCTCCAAGTCGCCGAGCTAGGGGATCTGCTGAAAGAGGTAACAGACAAGGTAAGCAATCAGAGCTCCGGCTGATTGTTCACATTCTCCCTATCTTGCAGGCAGCATGAAGGATAAAGAGAAGAAAAATGAGAAGAGATGATATGGGATACTTTTGCTTTTGAAGAAGTAACTTTCCACAGGCTTATTCTTGAACTGGGCTGGAGGGTTTTCTGGTTTCCTCCAAAGTATAAGGCCGACTGAAGAATTTGAGGGTCAAAACAAGTCCATCAAATCTAGAGTACGTTCGACCCTGCTGATATGGGATACTTTTGCTTTTGACAGAGTAGTGGATATATCGGCACGTGTGCTGTTACGCTTGTCTCCACATGCTTCCTTGTATCCTTCTCACTTGCCCTATCTGTTCCTCAGGCAGATGCGGTATCTTCCTTGGAAGCATAAGATGTTGAAGATGAGTACTCGAGAGCAATGCCAGGGTAAGGGGTTCCAGGCAGTCAGTTCCTGGCTGGAAGCTTGATTCCAAGTGCTGACTGATTGCTCTCTTTCTCCTTGTCTTGCAGGTAAGAACAAGGTCCAAAGGAAAAGACAGGGAAAAAGCATGATATGGGATACTCTTGCTTTTAACCCTGATGATATGAGATATTCTTGCTCTAGTATAGCTTGTTTACAGAGGTATTATCGGGGGGAAAGAAAGCTGAATATTTCGAAAGGCTTCGTTGGGAGTGCCCTCTCAGATAAGAGGAAGGGTTGAGCATTTTTGCAGGTCTGCCTGTCCGTTGGGGATGGAGGTCGCCATATATAGGAGTCTCCCTAACATCAAGTAATAATGCTATTCCTTTACCCTGCTTGGTCATAGCACGGTAGTGGGAGCTGCCAGCTTCACAAGTTTTAACTCTGTCAGAGCACTTTGAAAAAGTGGTCTGTGGTATCTGGAAAGCTGATGTTGCGTGTGAAGATTACAGACAAGCTTTATCCAAGGAGATCCGGCTCTTGAAGTTGGGAAAGTGGTGCCTCTTCGGTTTTCGAACAAGCAATCCTGTCGGGGATCTGGCTCTCGAGATTCGGAGAACGATGCCTCTTCGATTTTTGAGAAAGCAATCATGCTGGGGGTCTGGCTCTCGAGATTCGGAGAGCGGTGTCTTCGATTTTTGAGAAAGCAATCATGCTGGGGGTCTGGCTCTCGAGATTCGGAGAGCGATGTCTCTTCGATTTTTGAGAAAGTAATCATGTTGGGAGTTGGGAGTGTTTTCTCGAATATGAGTAAAGGTTGGGCATGTTTGCTAGTCTACCTTGCCACGAAGCACAGAGGTTGACACACAGGGACTTTCCAATTATCCAGCAGTGGTACTGTTCCTTTACCCTCTCTTCGATTTTTGAGAAAGTAATCATGTTAGGAGTCTAGGCTCTCGAGATTCGGAGGGCGGTGCCTCTTCGATTTTGGAGCAAGCAATCTTGTTGGGGGTGTTTTCTCGAATGTGAGTAAAGGTTGGGCATGTTTGCTAGTCTACCTTGCCACGAAGCACAGAGGATGACACACAGGGACTTTCAAATTATCCAGCAGTGGTACTGTTCCTTTACCCTCTATTCGATTTTTGAGAAAGTAATCATGTTGGGAATCTGGCTCTCGAGATTCGGAGGGCGATGCCTCTTCGATTTTGGGGCAAGCAATCTTGTTGGGAGTGTTTTCTCGAATGTGAGTAAAGGTTGGGCATGTTTGCTAGTCTATCTTGCCATGAAGCACAGAGGTTGACACACCGGGACTTTCCAATTATCCAGCAGTGGTACTGTTCCTTTACCATTGTGGGTAATAATATGGTAGCTAGGCCGTCAAAATTTATGTGTCTAAACTTTGTTAGTGTTGTTTATTTGCTATTCTTTTACCCTTCTTGGTCAGAGCGATGTAGTGAGAGTTGCAAGCTTCACGTGTCTCGACTTTGTCAGAGAACTTTGGCAAAGTTATATGTGGTACCCATGAGCTACTGTTGCGTGTGGGAAGTGGGTGATTGAACAGTACGATTCATGTGCTTTCTACTTCGCCAGAAATCTTCGACAGAATGCCCATAATTTCCGCAAAGCTGAGTGTGCGTGTGACAGGTGCTGACAAGGCTGGAAAAGTAGTCTCAACTTTGTCAGAGAACTTTGGCAAAGTTATATGTGGTACCCATGAGCTACTATTGCGTGTGGGAAGTGGGTGATTGAACAGTACGATTCATGTGCTTTCTACTTCGCCAGAAATCTTCGACAGAATGCCCATAATTTCCGCAAAGCTGAGTGTGCGTGTGACAGGTGCTGACAAGGCTGGAAAAGTAGGTGCCTCTTCGATTTCTGAGATCGACCCTCGTGGTCTCTGAGCAGCCCAGCTTTTGAGAAAGCAAACCTCTTCGATTTCTGAGATCGGCCCTCGTGGTCTCTGAGCAGCCCAGCTTTTGAGAAAGCAAACCTCTTCGATTTCTGAGATCGGCCCTCGTGGTCTCTGAGCAGCCCAGCTTTTGAGAAAGCAAACCTCTTCGATTTCTGAGATCGGCCTTCGTGGTCTTTGAGCAGCCCAGCTTTTGAGAAAGCAAACGCCTCTTCGATTTCTGAGATCGACCCTCGTGGTCTCTGAGCAGCCCAGCTTTTGAGAAAGCAAACGCCTCTTCGATTTCTGAAGCTTCGTCGAGTGCAGATTTTTATAGAGGCTAACATTAAGTTCCAAAGCACACTTGAATATCCACCTGTAGAAGCTCCATTCTTGCACTTCTAAGAACTTGATTTGTCCGACCTCTTCTCTCTTCTACACCTTTGAAAATGTCTGGCCCCTCCGACCGTCGTTTTGACTTGAACCTTGTTGAAGAGGCAGCCCCGCCTTCTCCAGACAACATATGGCGCCCATCCTTCGTCTCCCCTACTGGTCCTCTTACCGTTGGGGATTCCGTGATGAAGAATGATATGACCGCTGCGGTAGTGGCCAGGAACCTTCTCACTCCCAAAGATAACAGACTACTTTCCAAACGGTCTGATGAGTTGGCTGTTAAGGATTCTCTGGCTCTTAGTGTTCAGTGTGCAGGTTCTGTGTCTAATATGGCACAACGCCTATTTGCTCGAACCCGCCAAGTTGAATCATTGGCGGCTGAAGTGATGAGTCTCAAACAGGAGATTAGAGGGCTCAAGCATGAGAATAAACAGTTGCACCGGCTCGCACATGACTATGCTACAAATGAAGAGGAAGCTTGACCAGATGAAGGAATCTGATGGTCAGGTTTTACTTGATCATCAGAGATTTGTGGGTTTGTTCCAAAGGCATTTATTGCCTTCGTCTTCTGGGGCTGTACCGCGTAATGAAGCTCCAAATGATCAACCTCTGATGCCTCCTCCTTCTAGGGTTCTGTCCAGTACTGAGGCTCCGAATGATCCCCCTCCGGTGCCTTCTCTTTCTGGGGCTCTACCGACTGCCGAGACTTCTCCTAAGCAACCTTTGTGAAGGCTCCCTCTTGTTTGTTTATTTTGACTCAAGTATATGTACATATTTGTAATTTATCAAGATATCAATAAATAAGCTTTCCTTCATTTCAACGTATTGTGTTAAATCACCAAAGCCTTCTTCGCTAAGTTCTTTGAATTTTCTTTTGTTGAAGCTTGTATGTTGGAGCTTTGTGAGTGGAGCATGTAGGTTGAGGTAGTGTTCCCTTAATTTCCCGAACGAGGACAACTTCGTAGGTTGAAGCTTGTATGTTGGAGCTTTGTGAGTGGAGCATGTAGGTTGAGACAGCGTTTCAGTCTTTCAGAACAAAAACAAATACATCCTAGCATTAATACTCCCATAAATACAGTGACAATCAATTATTTAGGTAAAAGAACGGTGAACCGGAAAGGTTGTAGACTATATTGTTGGCACAAACAAGTATGCTATGATCTCCCAAACTCATTCGTAGCAATCGTCTTAACATTTACATGGTGATATATTCAATTCAGTTCTCAAATAGGTCCATAGTTCTTTGTAAGACAGCTCAATAAGCTAAAACTAGCTATTACAATTATTGGGTATGCCGTATACATATCATTTAATATTCACCTCAATTTCCTCAAAAAGTTAAACAGAAGTGTTGATAATAATAGTCAAACTATATTAAAAAGGCTTTACTTTAGCTACACCGCTTGAAACTCAATTTTAATCTCACTTTGCCTGGTAACTCAAAACTCACTACTTTACTTCCCCTCCCTGAAACTCAAAATCCACACCACTTTGCCCCTAGAACTCGATTTTGATGCTATTTTGCCCTCTAAAACTCAAAAATCATCATTTTACTCTATAAAACTCAAAATTTTCTCCACATCGCCTTAATTTTGTGAATTCCATTACGTGAGTTTGATTTGAATGCACTAGGCTAATCAATTTATTTATTTATTTTTTCCATTTCAGCAACTCAAGCACAGCATCCCAAAAAAAAAAATCCAATTCTTAATTTCTTCTTTTAAACTTAATATATTTTTTATTGTTGAATGTTAGTGAAGATTTATAATCAAATTCATTGGCACATGTCAGAGGCTACTGTTGAGTTTCAGGAAGAGAGAGAGTTTACAAGTTAAACTGGAACAAATTTTAAGTTTCAAGAATAAAGTGGTCGACTTTTCAATTAATAAAATCGAATTCCAGAGCGTAGCTAAAAATAAACCTTAAAAAAAAACAATTAATTTTCTGAATTTCGACCGCAGAATATGATATACTACAGAAATTTGGTCCAAGCTGATAAAACATTGAACAATCAAATAAACGAGATTAGGTGAAAATTCTTCCACAAAAAAATAAACAAACGATGTTGAAAATTAAAAAATTTTAACCTAATTTTATTTAATTTCACATTTGTTATCATATCCAGATCAAATGTAGTTGTAATTTGGTTATATCCATCATCAAAACTTTTGAGAATTACAAGCAGCAAGTCAGTAATGCAATTCAAATTCTAAGAAAAAGAATTCAAAAAAAAAAAAAACTCAAGAATTCGTACCTGAAAGCGATCTAGATGGATGAAAAATCTAGAGAGAGAAGGCGAATCTTAGAGAGAGAGGGAGGGAGGAGGAGTTTAGGGTTTAAAATGGTAAGAGGGGTGGTGGGGGGAAGAGGGTAGGAGGAAATGTCGTCACGTGGTGCGAGGGCTGTTTCTGCATTGGGTGGTAGCGATGAATCTGATTATTATCTCCCCATCCATTGTTTTAGTCACTGTCATTTTCTGGTTACTCACTCAACTTAACGCGTTTTCTTTTCCTTCATTTCTCTCCCAAACAACCAGCAAACTTGTTATAATTTTCTTTAACTTATTCTTTGGACAGTGCTTATCTACATATTACTTTTTTATCTTCCGTATATTTTCTTAATTTTCGACAGTCGAATTAAATAAGTTGAAGAGGATTAAAAGATAAAAATAAACAAAATGTATGTATAAATTTCTTTTTTGTAAATGTGTGGATGGTACACTTATTTTTTACGTGGTTAAAGGAATCCGGACGAAAAGGGTATGGATGGATGGTACGGAATTTCGCAAGTATTTTTCAGGGGCGGGGGAGTGGGAAATTTCCCATGCGAATCTAGTCTAATGGCAAAGGCGGAATTGGTATGGGCGGCTTTGTTGGCTTGTATTGATATGGGTTTGATGTGGTTCAGATTGAATGAGATTCTATAGGACTTGTGGATATGATTAACGGCAAGATTCAACCAAATGTTGCAATTGAAGCACTCCTTCTTGATATTCAATATGTGAAGTAGCGGTTGGGGTTAGTGGATGTCATTTTTGCTCATTGTATTTGTAATATGGCAACACATAGGGGTGGGTTCGGTTTCAATCGGTTCAGTTTTTTGTCAAAGTCGAAACCAAACCACAATTTTGGTTCGGTTCAATTTTTTTTATTATTCAGTTCGATTTTTTCGGTTTTTATTCGGTTCAATTTGTTTGGCTCGGTTTCAGTTTGGTTCAGTTTTTTGTAAAACCTTTTTTTTTTTATTTGAAAATTGGTCTATGCTGTACAACTTTGCTTACAGTTTTTCCATTTCAAAGAAAGAAAGGGAATAAAAAAAAGAGAAAGAGAAAGAAGATGCATGGAGGGTTGGGTGGGGAGAAAAAAAAGGAAGAAAGCATAGGGTCGAATGGGGAGAAAAAATGGAAGAAAGAAGAGGGTTAGGTGGGGAGAAGAAAAATGACTTGGATTATGGGTTAATGGTTGGTCTAAAACAAAAGCTTAAAACTTGGGTCTAAACTTAAATTGGGCTTGGAATATAAACACTCAAATATTAAATAAATAAATAAACTTAATTATATTTAATTTGGTTTGGTTTTTTAATCACTGAAATCGAAATCAAACCAATACCTTTCTGTTTGGTTAGTTTTCGTACTTCGGTTCGTTTTTTTTTTTTCGGTTCGGATTTTTTCGGTTTTTGGTTTTTTCAACCCACCCTTAGCAGCTTTTGCCTTATAGAAGAAAGGCTCTTATGGATAGGACTATTTCAAGACAAAGTGGTTATTTAACACTTTGACTTCTAACGTAAACATTTCAATTCGAATCTAATAAAATTCTTTCCTTTAAAATTTAAAAAAAAAAAAACACCTATTATTTCCTAGTTTCAAAATAGGCAACAAACTTGCATTTATTTGCGACCAATAATAAAATTGTAAAACCTCGTTTGCTCTAGGATTTGATGGGATTCAATTAGATAACACACAAACTTCATGGTATATAAAGGATGTATATGTACATTTCAATTTATCAAGAGTGATGTTACGCCCACTCCAACCATCTTATACTCCTACCCTCCAACCCTTCATAAAAAGTAGAAACAAAAAAACAAGTAAAAATTCTTCTTCAATTTTTCCAGGCTTTAACAAAATTACCCCGCAACTCCCAATGTCACTATCAACTCCTCCCCTCAAAATCCCAGAACAGTCACTAGCCCCATAAACCCCAGCCAACCCACCACCAACACCCAAATCCTTAGCCCACCCGTACCAAAAGCCCCATCTCAACCGCATCAACACCCTCAAAACCACGTCGCACCACTATCCAGCGCCCCATCTCGGTGGCCAACCATCGCAGCACCGCCACGTTCAAAAAACAGTTCTTGACAACTCAGTTAAGGGTTGTGTGAACATTTTTCCTTTTGTTTTTAAAATGAGAAAAAGACGGGGAAATATAATGTGAGAGTGGGGAAAAAATTATGAGGGGCTTGGCTTGCCATTAGATTTCGTTGAGTGGCATTACAATCCACTCAAAGGTCGTCACGTGACCAGTCTCAAATGTAATATTTTATCATTAGCCTTTTTTACATCACGACGCGCCGCCACGTGCAACATCTAGAATCATTTTTTTCTTTTTACATTCGCTCACGCATAAAGACATTGTTATAGTTACAATGTGCTAAGCGCAACATACAATGTTTAATTATAAAATTTGGACTTGTCAAGAGACATTCTTTCATTTTATTTTTTTTGGCTAAAGATGTATGAACTTTTGCACCGTTAGATTTAAATTAAGATATTGCATGTAACATCCCACATCGTCCATGGATGAGGATCCTATAAGCCTTATATGTATATTCTCATCTCTACCTAGCACGAGGCTTTTTGGGAGCTTACTAGCTTCGGATTCCATCGGAACTCCGAAGTTAAGTGAGTTCGCATGAGAACAATCCCGCGATAGGTGACCCACTGGGAAGTTCTCGTGTGAAGAACTTCCCAGAAATAAAACCTTGAGGGTGTGGTCGGAGCTTAAAGCGGACAATGTCGTGCTACGGTGGAGTCGAGCCCGGGATGTGGTGGAGGTCCGGATCGGGATGTGACACTGCAAGCCTCTCAACTTGAAAAGAGAGAAACACATAAATGAAATGAAGTTAAACATGATGTTCCCATATCACAAATGCCGCGAAATTCTCATTGAAAAATTATTCATTAGAAATATTGGGAAAATTACAAGGAAATTATGATAAATTTAAAGTGAAATAACATTCTTCTAAGAAGCACCTAGACTAGGTTGAGGAGCAGATATTTCAATCACTTTAAAATGATTCAAGCCCATTGTGGTTTAACAAAGTTTACAACTGGTGCAATAGTATATCCCTTGATATTTCCTTGCATGATACGACGAAACTTATCTGCACAAAGGGAATAAAGGAGAAAAATGGAAAAGATGATGAGAGTACACTTCTTTGACTGGAAGCCACGAACTGGAATCTGGTGGATGTCCTGTTGTCAAAGTTAGGCAAAAATGGTCAAACAACGCAGGCATGTTTTTTTCTTTCTATAAAGCGTATTAGAGTTTGATTATTATATAGGGGGTACACAGAGTAAGGATTTTAGAGCTTGTTTGGATGTGTTTTTAAAATGATTGAAAGTATTTTTGGTGTAAATATTTTAGGAAACAATCCTTAGTAAAAATGTTAATAAATCTTGAAAAAGCATTTAAAGTACTTCATGGAATAAACACATAACTAATGTTTCTTGTAGAAAGCACTTAAAATGTTTTTGGAACTTAAAAACATTTTCTCTAAAAGCCACTTTCAATCATTTTAAAAGCATAGTCAAACGAGCTTAGTCGTAATAGAATGTAGGAGAAAAGTTGCGTGATTTTGAGAATTTGATTATTGGTTCGTAGATATGGGTTTATAGATAAATTTTAGGGTAAATCTCAGTTTACTACCCTCAAGTTTCGTAGTTTTCAACATTTGGTACATGAAATTTTTTTCGTCCCAAAGTCATACCTAAAGTGTTAATTTTGGGACAATCTCATACATCTGTTAGTCTGGCTGTTAAATCTTCTGTTAACTGGTGACGTGGCGTCCATGTGGACAATGACTGTGCGCCACGTGTCATTAAGGGGTCCATTTGGAAATTAAAATTTCAAAATAAAAAAAAAACACACACACACACACACCCGTCTTCTACCTCCCCCCAACCCCCTCCCCCCTTATGCACACCCTCTCCGCACACCCACCCTCAATTCCCTCTCCCAAACCCTTAAAGCCATTAATCTCTACTTTCTCTATCTAACCATCATCTACCTTCGAATTCTAGGGTTTCTCCTTTCTCTCTCTGTCATATCTTGTTCCGCTTTGGCCGTTGACTGCAGCGTACGACGATCATGGGGTCGATCCCTGATCCTGGCAAGTTGACTGAGTAGACTCCGCAAAATTTCGATGAGTTCGAGCGACGACTTCACCGAGCTTGGGTGAGTTCTAGCAACAAAACTTCCTGAAGAAATTTGAGGCCATCAAGCTCAAAATCCAGACCTGGAGCACGAGACCAAGGCCTCGCTCGAGTAGCACAAGGTCTCGATCAGGGACATCTTCGAAGTCGCGATTGGCAAGATCGAGAAGAGCAAGGAGGCAACACTCAAGATGTTGAAGAGAGCCACAACGATGACAAGTATGGAGAGGTAGATGACGACGAGGGATTGCTGATGAATCTCAAGTCGTTGTGATTGATGATGGATTCTGAAGGGTTCTAGAGGTTCGTAAGAGTGATGATGAAGGAATTGGAGGCTCTGAGGTTCTAGAGATCCGGTGAAGTTCGTGCTGAAAGCGATATCGGTGGTGTTTCTGGTGGAGAAGATAGTGGAGATGAGCGATATGGGGTGTGCAGAGGATAGGGGTTCTAGAAGAAAGAATGGGAGGGAAGGGTTGTGGGGAGTTAGAAGACGGGTGTGTTTTTTTTCTTTCGAATTTTTTATTTCCAAATGGACCTCTTAATGACACATGGCGCCCAGTCATTGTCCACATAGGCGCCACATCATCAGTTAATAGAAGACTTAATAGCCAAACTAACAGATATATGAAATTGTCCCAAAATTAACACTTTAGGTATGAAACTTGAGGGTAATATACTGAGATTTACCCTAAATTTTAATTTTAGTTTTAATTGCATCTTGTCCTAACAGTAATTGTATAATAGGATAAAGGAGACAATTTATATTTAAAACTTAAGTTGAGTGTGGATGAGATTATATGAGTTCAAATAAAATTTTTCAAAATAGAATTGTGCGAATTACCATGGAACTTTTAGTGCTCAATCTATCAAGAGTAGTGTAATGCCCACTCCAACGAGATATTTTTCAGTGTGATGGGAATACGGTCCGATATACCAAAAGTAATAATACAAAGAAAAACTAATGAAAATGGCTTGAAAGCTTTGAGTTTTAACGATAAGGACAAAATAAAGAGTAAATTGAATAGTACCATGACTGACTTTTTAGTGTAAAAATATGGTTTTTCGTTAAAGTGAACAATATCAGAAGCTTTTCGTTAAAGTTTTCATAATACAATTGGTTGGACATTTGAAGAAATTTTTTTAACCAATTGTATTATGACATTTGGTGAAACAGACTGTGTTTTCAATACATTGACCCTAGAACTACATTATATTCCTTACCTCCATAAAAAGTAAAATAAAAGTCGTTCCCACCCACCATTATACTTAAAATAGTCTTATATACGTACCCTCCATAAAAAGTTCAACAAAATGTCTTTCCCACCCACCATTATACTTAAAATAGCCCTACATATTTCTTCTTCAATTTTTCCTTGCTTTAACAAAATTAACCTATCACTATCAGTCCCATCCCCTCAAAATTCCCAGAACAGTCGCACTAGCCCCATAAACCCCAGCCAAGCCTCCACCAACCGCCCCAAATACTCAGCCCAACCGCACCACCACCCCCAAAACCCCATCTCAATGTACCAACACCCACAAAACCACGTCGAACTAACATCCAGCGCCTTGCGTCTGTCGCCAACCATCGCGGCACCACCACATCCACAAAATAGCTCCCGACAACGCAGTTAAGGGTTTAGGTCTGCATGTATATAATTGGGTATCAATTTTCAATTGGAAAAAATGAGCAACCACGACCATTCATTTGGGCATAAAGATTAATGCCCACACCACACACTAACATTTTTTAAGTTTTCAGAATGGGAAGGAGAGAGGGAGAGAGCATGAAAGTGGGGAATATCATATATACGCTAAGATCACATGTAGATGAAGTTTTATAAAATATAAAAATTGATCGGTGCTAAATTAAATTAAAGCCCATGATTGTATTTTTATGATAGAAAATTAAATTATCTTTTTACATTCTTTTAGTTGACAAACAGACGTGCGTTAATACGTAGTTTAGATGATCTCGGCAACGAACAACTGAAAGTCAAGCCCTATGGAACATAATTTTGAAAAAAAAATCACATAAATTAAGGAGAAATTAAAAGGTTCTTGAAATAGAAAAAGATTATGACGACTCGTATTCTATTTTAACGAGTAGGAAATTTATTTACTAACGATAATAAATAGAATGATAAGCATCACTATCACATTTGATTACGAGCAAAAATATAATGCGCATCACCGTCAGTTTAGTGATGAGGAGCAAAAATATTTGCTTGGAATGCTACGTGAAGGCTCATATCATGGACGAAAAAGGCGGAATCAGATAGCTGCAAAAGCGGAGTACACAATCACACAGATGTTCCGTATCCATAATCCATCCATATCCAAAACCACCACCATATGACTACGACAAACACTCCTTCTTTATCCACGCGCTCGCACAGCGCGTGCTCTACTCTCCTACTGTCTTAACCCCGCCACATAGCAGTAACTCCTCCCTCCCATCCTTCTCTCTTTCCCTCCCTCCGAAGCAAGAGCGGGCCACCGGCAAGCGCGTTGGGGAAAACCTACCGCCATGGCCACCACCGTCAACGACCTGCCGGAGGTTATACTATCCGCCATCATCACCTTAGTTTCCGACACCCGGACCCGGAACTCGCTCTCCCTCGTGTGCAAGAAGTTCCGGAGCATGGAGAGGGCCACGCGCGCTTCTCTCAAGCTCCGGGGCAACGCGCGCGACCTCCACCGGATCCCGATTTGCTTCACAGCGGTGGACCAGCTCGACCTATCACTCTTATCCCCGTGGGGCCACTCACTGCTCTCCCCCTCCGCCGCCAACACCGACCCTCTCCTCGCCCAGCGCCTCCGTGACGCCTTCCCATCCGTCACCTCACTCACTGTCTACTCCCGATCTCCCTCCACTGTCCAGATCGTCTCCCGTCTGTGGCCGGGATTGCGCCGGTTCAAGCTCGTCCGCTGGCATCAACGGCCCCACTCGCCCCTCGGCGCCGACTTCGATCCTCTGTTCAGGGAGTGTCAATCCCTCTTGGAGCTCGACTTGTCGGAATTCTACTACTGGACGGAGGACCTCCCGCCGGCTCTGGAAGCCCATCCCGGCGTGGCTCGATCTCTCACCAAGCTCAATCTCTTGACGAAGTCGTTTACCGAGGGGTTCAAGGCCAACGAGATCAAATCCATCACGGCGGCGTGTCCGAAACTGCAACATCTCCTAGTGGCGTGTATGTTCGATCCGAGATACATAGGCTTCGTCGGCGAGGAGGCTCTCTTATCGATCTCCGCCAACTGTCCGGAGCTCAGAGTCGTTCATTTGGTCGATACAACGTCGCTGGCCAACGCCCGCGGCGACCCAAACGACAATGGGTTCACCGCGGAAGACGCGCGGGTCGGGCGCGCGGCGTTAGTCGACTTCTTCTCGGGGCTTCCGCTGCTGGAAGAGTTGGTGCTGGATGTGTGTAACAACGTGAGAGACAGTGGGTTGGCGCTGGAAGTGCTCGGGTCCAAGTGCCCCAGGCTGAGATTGCTCAAGCTGGGCCAGTTCCATGGGATTTGCTCGGCTATTGGGTCCGAGCTCGACGGCATTGCGTTGTGTGCAGGGCTGGAGTCGCTGTCGATTAAGAACTCGGCCGATTTGACGGACATGGGGCTGATTGAGATTGCGCGAGGGTGTTGTAGATTGGCCAAGTTTGAGGTCATTGGATGCAAGAGAATTACGGTTAAAGGGTTGAGGACGATGGCTTGTTTGTTGAGGAAGACTTTAGTGGATGTCGGGATCTCTTGTTGCAAGAACTTGGATGCCGCGGCCTCGCTGCGGGCTCTGGAGCCCATTCGTGATCGGATTCAGCGCCTGCACATTGATTGCGTATGGGAAAAGGACGATTCTCATGGCTTTGATGATCTTGGTCAGGTGAATGCCCATGGCGGTATTGCGTTGAATCGGAATGGTGATGATGGCGGTGATTACATGGACTTGAATTGGGCGGCTGAGTACGAAATCAGAAGTAGCAAGAAATGCAAGCTGGGGATGGATGGGGAGTGTTCCTATATGCCACCAAGCAATGGCCATGGCTATGGTGACGGCAATGGAAATGGAAACGGGTTTTGGTATGATGAGACATGGGAGAGGCTGCATTATCTTTCGCTTTGGGTTGGGGTCGGTGAGCTGCTGACTCCATTGCCTTCGGTGGGTCTCAATGATTGTCCCAATCTGGAGGAGATTGACATTCGGGTTGAAGGGGATTGCAGGTTTAACCACAGACCCACTCGGCGAGAATTCGGGTTGAGCTGCCTCGCAGGCTATCTTCGCCTGTCCAAGATGAAGTTGGATTGTGGTGATACAGTGGGTTATGCACTGACTGCCCCGGCGGGACAGATGGACCTTAGCCTCTGGGAGAGGTTCTTCCTGAATGGGATTGGAAGTTTGTCCCTCGGTGAACTCGACTACTGGCCCCCGCAAGACCGAGATGTAAACCAGAGGAGTCTCTCGCTTCCGGCTGCCGGGTTGCTGTCGGAATGTGACACATTGCGGAAGCTCTTCATCCACGGCACGGCTCACGAGCATTTCATGATGTTCCTTGTGAGAAATAACAATCTCAACTTGAGGGATGTGCAGCTGAGAGAGGACTACTATCCGGCACCCGAAAACGAAATGAGTACGGAGATGAGAGTGGATTCGTGTTGTCGATTCGAAGATGCACTTAACAGGCGCCCGATCCTCGATTGAAAAATAAAAGTAACGCGACATAGTTTATGAAATCGGAGAGGAAGAATGTAAGGAGTTCCGAACTTCTTGTTCATGCCTCACTTTTGTCGTTTTCAATTCCCCATCGAATAATATCCTGTCATCCTTTTGCCAAACTGTTTACTAACATGAACAAAGCTTTTGCACACGTGTCATAATGTAATTAGTCTGTAACAAGGAACAACTGCTTACTAATCCGTCGTCCGCAAGAAGGAATGACCCCTTACATGCAAGTAGTCGAAAGTATTTTCGGAAGTCGGAAGTTCAATAAAAAAGCTGAGTTGCAGGAAAACATCGGAGGATGCAAAACTAAAAGCAAAAGATGAGAAATTGACAACAGCATGCACCTTAAAGCCGAGAATACAAAGTGAAAACCTCTACCATGTTTTCTATACACAAGAAACAAGATTGTATCAGCAAAGTGAGTATTCGCAGTCTAACAAGCGGGAGAGTATGTCCTCGCAGCTCGGTCGATCCTGCGGTTCCGTCCAACAATCTGTACAAAAATGCAAGTGTCAGCTCGGAAGCCCGATTACGCACGAAAAATGCATAAAGCTCTGGACATTTTTTTCATTAAGGTTAGGCAATTGATTACCCGAAATAAGCCTGCCTAGCGGACCATCAGGGATCTCCAATCGGGAACCTTCATTCGCAACAGCGTAAACTACCTGAATAGAAGAAAGCTAAGTTTCACCTCAAAAGTTTCTAGCTTTCTCTAAATACTAGATAGTTGGATTGTACTAGCTACACATTCGGAACAAGAACGAAAATAGTTTAACTTTATATCTTACTGACCCTCTCTGGTGGAACACCTTCCCACGGTCTATTTAGAGTGCAGAGCTCCCACATTAACACCCCAAGGCTGAAAATATCACATTTTTCAGTGAAGGGTTCATTTCGAATAAGCTCAGGTGCCATCCATTCCGGAGTTCCTGCAGACGATGAGTCCTTCATGTTTGTCTCAGACATTATTCTTGAGAGTCCAAAGTCACAAAGCTTGACAGTCCAGTGCTTATTCACTAGACAATTTGCACTTTTTAGATCACGATGAACTATCTTCATCCGGTGCATGCACATCAACCCCCTTCAATTGCAAACAAAAGATTCCAGTCACTGCTTATCAATACTAAAACATAAAATTCAGCAAATTTATCAAATTCTTTCACTTGAATGTACAGGCGGTGCTGAGGTGTCTGGATAATGATAATGATCCTATATGCAGATTAAGTTACATTACACGGAACTCTCACGAAATGCCAAATTCCGAGTTCATCCTATTACGACCTTGAATTATACCTAGCTTACAGAATCTTCTATCTTACACATATACTAAGAAGTCATGCAAACTGAGATGACATAAGATCAAATTGGTTTTGTATTGCAGTGTCAAAAGTTTGGAGACAAACATAAGGAATTTCAAACCTCCAAAAAACAAAGGACAGAAACATTTCAAGCATTTGCCAACATATAGGACCTAACCGCCTTAAACAGAACGATAACATGTCGATAGTCTTGTCAGACTGTCTACCATACTGTCAGTTTCAGAGCTAAAGGAGTTCATCTATTAGCAGCTAGTAATTCTAAATTTACGAACCAAAAGCCATAGATGGTGGAAACACATGTCAGTTCTCTTTAGGGTTCAAATAAATATAAAGAACATGAACCAACAAATTTATGTCCTACTGAAAAACGTGTGGAGTGAAAAATATTTCATAGATCATGGATGGAGTGAACAGACCTGCATATGTCACGCAACATCCTTAGTCTCCTTCGCCAGCTAAGCTTCTTCTTCTGGCCACTCAAATGAATCAAATAATACAAAGATCCCATCTCCATGTATTCTGTAACCATTGATAAGCGTGGAGGCTTCGTGCATGCACCCAAAAATAGAATAACTGCAGAAAACATCACGGTAAATTCCACAGCAGTATAAAATAAAGAAAATGTGTACTATCTACTATATCTCCAACGTATAAAACCATAGACAAAGGAAAAATGGAAAGTATAATCAGAACAGAAAGTACCATTGGGATGCCGAAGACGACTGGATACCCACGTGCAAAAGAAAAGTAGAACACATTAGAAAAATATAGGATAAAAAAGTAAAACCTGCAGCAGAAAGACAATAAAAACAAAACAATAATCAAGGTATCTGTGAGAAATACCTAAGAATTGATATCTCATTGCAGAAGTCTTCCATGTTTTCAGCAGTTAGGTCTTGCTCTAAGAAAACCTTTATTGCAACATCTGTTCCATTCCAAACACCTCGAAAGACTTCTCCAAAGAACCCTAAATGTAGAAGCAACCGAAAAAGCTCAATCAATTAGAACTGTATTTTTAATTTTTCAGAATGGAAAACTTAGATGCTTTTCCAAGGAAAGAGGAGCTTCACAGCCTGAAATTCAGAAGCTTTCTCAGGGACTTACTTTGGTATTAAGGAACATACTTTTCTACAGAAGGACCAAAATCCAATTACGTTTTGGAAAACAATCAGGGAAAATGGATATTTCATCCCCCTATTATATCATTTTTATCTAATGATGACTTGATGATTTGTGTAAAAAGTAAAAAGAATTCTTTGACATTAAAAAAAAAAATAGAAACAAGATTGCTGACAAACACTAATTTCTTTAACAACAAACTCATATTTCTTTGCTAGCCCATTGTGAGGCTTTAGCCCACTCCCCTACCCCTTAGTATAGATAATATCGTTTGTTCAAAAAAAAATAACTCATATTTCTTTCACCTCAGGAAATAGATGGGAGATGGGTTCACACTTATCAAGCCAACAGCATAGTGAAGTACTGTATGTTACACAAGTGATACTTACCTATTCCAACACGAGTTCCAACAGTCAATTCTGTGAAATCAATATTCCATTCCTGGTAAGGCAATAGAGGCTTATTATCAAATGTGGCGGATTCAAGAATTCTGTTCCATGTTAAAACCAATTCATCATTTGTTGCAAACTCTGACGGTCCAATTCTATCAGATGTTTGACTCCTATACTGATGTGGAGATGAAGGTAATGATATTGCTTTTTGAGAACTGATTTGGTCCTGGTGAAGCAAACGTAAAGCAATCTTCAATCAGAAAATTCACGACAATCATCTAAAGAAAACTTTAAAACCTGATGTAACAAAAATTTAAAGCCCAAAACAACATTAATTGCTTCATAATAAATTCTTGAAAACTTTAAAGCCCAAAACTAGCAATATTCTTAAATCTTACAGAGTATAATGATAATTAAAATATGAGCACTAAAGTTGTTAGTATTTGACGCTTGGAAATCATCCACATCTACCCAATAAGCAACGTACACATGAGAAACAAGACCAATGATAATGGAAATTTTAGAGTCAAAATTAGAATTTCTTATGAAACCGGAATTTAATTAACTTGTGTTGCCTATCGAATACATCTCTTTCATTCACCTAGGAGTGGGAGAGTAGTCAAGAAAAGTTGTTTGTAGATATTTCTTATTTAGAGTTACAGTCCACTTCATATTCTTTTATGGATTATATTCATTATTATTATTTATTTTAATCCCATCACCAACATTACATTGACATTAAGGTTACACCAGTTGTAAACTAAAAATCACTTTCCCTCGTAAGATTGATTAGGAATGTATAAATTTTGTTATCTTTAGGCTTTATAGCGTTTACGCTATGCTCATTAGTCATTATATTACTATATGAAGTAACAGGCAGATTCAATGTAAGGCGATCAGCAAGACTGGAGCACTAATCAGAAAAGGGGTTATTTACAACATTATGGAATAAAGATACAGGAGTAGCTGTACATTGGATGTGGAAGCAATGCAAAGAGTTCACGAGGAGGTTATAAATGGGTAGAGGAGATCACAATGCAACTGGATTGTTAGATGTAAGAACAAAGTCAGTCCAAAATTTCATGCACCTGATTACTGGGAAACAAGACTTCATTCTAATATGTATATATAAGCACACAGAGTCACACATAAATATATTAGATCTATACAATCCATATTGCAGGGTTTCAGAATTTACCATATCTCCAGAATTTTAAACTACTGACAAAGATGTTACACCAAAATAACAAGCTTATATACATCCACCGGCCAGGTGATCAGACTCAAAGCCCCAAAATAATGAAACTAAGTAAACACTCAAAATCAAAAAACAAACAAAAAGTGCGGTCATCCAGTTGACCATCCTACCTTCAGAACAAAACCATTAAACAATTGATTTCCAAATAGAAAACATATTTTCCGTTACTGCAATGAAGAAACGTACATTTTTCTGAAGACCGGATCTATGATCATCACCTTGCTCTCTCAAAAGACGATTCTGCTTCAATGTTTCATTCATTGCTCGTACAGCCCTAAATAGTTCATTAGATTCATAGTTTATTAATTATAAACATCCAAAATCAGATAAAATAACATTCTCTTTATGGTCCATCTGATTTGGACATAATTCTCAAGTTAGAACTATGAGTGCCTCCACATAAACAATATACTAGATGCCAAATATTCACATCAAACAAATTTTCATAACCTGGCCAGAGATAATATTTACAAGGAACTTGGCTTAAGAACAAAAACTGGCCACAGACTTCTCCTTATTAGTTAAAGCAGAACTATGTGTACTAATTTTATTTGATCATTCAAGCAAAATTTTTCTATCACATCACTTAAAGATTTTCTAAATAACCTGCACAGTGAACTTTTTTTATTGATAGGAAATGAGAATAATGAAGAAAGTGAGAAATCATGTATAAGGCATGATGGACTACTGTATCAGCTCCAGGTACTGTACAATGTTAGTCATCATTTCTGTGATGCTGGAACTAAAAAAATTACATGTTCACTTGGCCTTCTGTGTAAGAAGCAACAGGCAATTGTTGACAATCTACACGACATCATTTGCCTGATGGCGATTTCTCATGGCTCCTCACATTAGCAAGCACCTCAGCGTGCCAGAGCTCTAAAAATATATAATGTTTTATTGACCTGTTACCATTTAATTGAATCATGGGTCCTCTGTCACTTGCAGATACTTTCAACACATACTTACCCTCTAATAAAATACTCGTGTACTGTGACATTGATCATAAGAATCACAATCAAATACAAGATGAGAAACACATTCTAACAGTATAAGAGTGATATAACGAGGAAAAAGGTAATAATAACCAAGAATTTTTTTTCAAAAATAACCAATAAACTGAAATGAAAGATGCCAAAATATTTCTACAAAGGGAAAAATATCAGTTTACCCACAAGGTGAGTAGTTCTGTGAAATTGACAAACTATAGGAAGCAAAGACCTCTTTTGAAAACAATGAAATAAACATCAACCTTACGATATCATCGCCAATCTCTGGAGTAATACTCATGCTTCTTCTTCTTAATCTGCGAGCTTCTGATGTTGATGCACCGTCTGACCTGTACCTACAATCAAGAATTGAAGACAAGTTTAAGAGCACACATATATATTTCTTTTAAGATGTGAAGATTGAGCTGTGAAAGAAACATCGTATACAAGCTAAAACAAAAAATAATCACACACAAAATTAACCAATACTAATTTCAGCAGACAATGTAACATCAATAAGTTATCTCCAAATGACCAAGTACAGTTGGTGAAGATTAAAGTCCGATAGTATAGAGCAGAAGAGACGATGAGTGGAATATAATGGACAATTTAACAAAAATGATTAATGACATTATGGGAATGGAAGCATTAACTTCAAGGAGGGATCAATTTTGTATACTAACTTTTTCTGGCCTAACCGAATAACAGGGATAGCTTTTTGGCCCCAAGCTTGGTTTGGGTTTAGTGATTATGTAATGTCTATAAGAAATATATGGCCAAAGGTCAGAAGCCTAGTTTGACCCAATAAATTGCACCCACCGCATTGTCATTTGTAGGATACAATTCCATTCCAACCATTCCCCACCCAATCTTGTAAACATGAAAATAATAAGGCAATCAATACTGTTCGTTTGTTATAAATAAGACCTCAATTAATATCCACTGCCTCAGCGCATAATAAACTTGTGGATTATTCACTAAACCATCCATCAAAAGATTTAGTTTATACAAAGGGGTAAAATGGGATCAACACATATAAATAAAACCTTGAGGTAGGCATGTCATCAGCATAATCTCTAAAAGATTTCCCATCACCACTGAGCATGGACCGCCCACGTGCTCGGAACGAAGGATGCTCTGGACTGAAAAACCAGAAAGAAACAAAAGGAATAACTACAACGACAACTATATGCAATGATATTGCTTAAAGAGTAAAAGGTGAGTCTAGACCAACTTTAGACATGGGCTAGTAAATAAAACACAATATCATGGAAAATCATAAGACTGGCTAAAGAGAACCAAAAAAGTATCTGACCTGAAAATTGATGTTGTGCAAGCATTTCTATGAGCATTCTATTAATATTGCAATGGTACCGAAAAGCTAAATCTTGATTCACAAGAACATTATCCATCCTAAATATAACTGGAAAAATGGAAACTGTCACCATTGATATAGACCATGTAGTCCATCAAGAAGTCGGTACCTTATTGGCATTATTGGGAGATTAAACTATCAAAACTACTCGAATGAAAGGGAAATTCACGGTCAACTTTTTCTTATTCTTTTTGTCTCAAAATATTGTGGTTTGGGTCAAGATAGCCATAGAGATAATGGTATACATGATGTTAGTATTGTTGCCATCTTTCCAGAGAAAAGCACCCAGAAGAGTGCCGCACATATGCAACACAGATACACACATCACAAAAACCATCTGACACAAGTAACATGAAAATTCCATCTCTAGCTCCAGGTCTCTCTAACTTCAACATTGTTAAGAAGCATTTTATGTACAGTATGCCAAGGTCTTACAATAAGCCATCTGTAAACAAGAGGACAGACTAAGATGCATTGAAATACAACTAAAACCACAAGTGGAGCAGACTATATTATGCTAAAGATAGGACAACTTTATGAGAGAGAGAGAGGTATCACAATGGTATCTTCTGAAAAAAAAAAAAAAATCAAGTTTTGGCATCCGGAACAAAAGTTTATCAGTTTACTTATCAGTACATAAATTCTACAGAAGAATTACTGGGGAACCAGTGTGAGTTTATTGTCAAAAGTAGCTTGTATAATGTCATTTTTCTCTCGTCCCTTGCATAAGACAACTCAGTAGAGTCAAGTTCCTACTGGTGAAATCATCACACAATGCAAAAATAAAAATAAAAAATGGAGCTGCTATGATCCTAGATCCTTACCAACATGATTTATCATCATGAACTATGGGAGTTTTGAATCTTTAAAACTAACAAAATTAAACTTGAAATCTTGAAAAAAACACGTTAGGATGAAGAAAACCTTGAACTAGCAGTCCGCTGTTCAGCAATGGCCTTCCTCCGACTACGCCGCCAAAATGTAGTTGCAATGTTGGGTTCACTATGTGAAAAACTGAGGGATTAAAAAAGTAACTCAATAACAAACAACTCATAGTCCCATGCATTTGAGAGTTTAAAAATCAAGCAAAAGGACAAACTTAATGAGAAGAGAAAAAAAAAGCACGCAATGGGATGGTCATAGCAAAAATTCATTTGAGACTAGAGTTTTACTTGTCAAGACAGGAAACGTAAATCACCTCAGTTTTCTTTCAACGGAGGTAATAGGTCGCAACATTATATTTTGTAATGAGGGACCTTGTGCATTTGAGGGCACATCAAATCTACCACGGAACTGAGGACTATCATCTTTTTCAGCACTGCAACGGAAAAAATATGAAACATCTAAGTTTTCTTTGTAGCGCATGCTTGCTACAAAATCATCAATCATTACAGGTTCCAAATTTCTAATTCTAAAATTTAGGATTTTACAAACCGCATCAGCTAACCTGTCAGGATCCATTCTCTCTGAAAATCCATATAGAGGACTGTTTGGTTCTAGTGGTGAATCACACGAGTCGTTCTCTGCACTATCACTCTCCCCAGCAGCAGAAATATGGGTCATAAATATTGCTTTGGTTGATCGGGGTAACAGCTGCCCAGGAAACCGCATCAGGTCGACCAGTAGTTCAACAGAGTTCAACACAACTACCACAGACATATGCTTGTATGAATCTACACACTCAACGGCTCCATCAATAGGCAAACCCTGATACAAAAAGAAACACAAGGAGCAAAAGGCAGCATTTCAGATTTCAGCGCTAATCATGATTGAGAATAGTAAGAACTTATATCATATATTTGACAATTTTTTTATCATTTGGATGGAACCGTATAATATCCATGGGAAAATATCAATCAACTAGAACAGTTAAACACCATCAAATAAATGATAAGCTTACCACCATTAGCCTACTTTCAAGACCTATAGTGTCTGCTAGAACTTTGAATAAGATTGCTCTAGGACGGCATGAACCATGTTTTATTTGCCCCAAAAGTTGGACTCCTCGATTCTCAAACATGTGGGAGGTTTCTTCAAGTGCAGCTTTTGCTGGACTTTCTGCATTTGGCCGCTTATAAAAATCTGAAACCTGTGTAGGCATGGCAGACGAAGTTAAAGCATCATCCTAATGATGTTAACATGTCCTAAGTTATTAATCAAAGAAATCACAAGCAGTGCTTATGAAAAACTTGACCCAGTAAGTGCCTGATAAGCAGCATATGGTATATATCAGTATAGCAGCAGAATAGTTAATCTAACATCAGGTTTAGATAACACAGGTTCTATGATTCATATCTCATGGATGTTTACTTTATGTGTAACTGAAGAAGTTGTGCGGAATAGGCAAAGAAATCGTAGCATAAGTCTAGAACCAGGTAGCATATCTACATGGCATTGTTATTCATATTATCTACATGGCATTGTTATTCATATTATGATCATAAGGATATGAATAGTAATAGTAAAACATGTAAGTGGCAGTCTTTGACAGTTGAAAACATTGGATGTAAGGCATAAAAGAAATAATCTAACAGACAAAATAAGATCAAAATGGAGAGAGAGTGTGTACTCAAGGCAACTTCAATATAGATCCAGGAAAACAAATAAATTACTCACCAATCCAGCAATCTTTTTTATCATTCGAGCTGGATTTGCGTTCAATCCTTTCACCAGAGTCACAATCAGTTGCTTCAGCATGGACACCTTTTTGTCTTTTGTAGTATCTACAAGAATGACATCGGCTCTCAAACCCTCTGCTTCAAGAGCATGAAGCTCATCAAGAGTAGGAATATCATCAAAGATCTCCTTGAGCCTTTTCTCCTGTATATTGTCAGATTGGGTCAATTGAAACGATCAAATCTCAACTACAGTGGACAAGTGAAAACGAATCAAAATAAACAAAGCCAATGAAAATTACAAGTGAATACTACACCATCTCAACAACACTAAATTAGCAGTACGTTGATAATGTTTTACTTATCTGCATTTGTACATCTACTCTTTGAATAAGCGAGTGATGTATTTAAGATTTCTTGTCATTTTGAAGGGAAGGAAAAATTAATCAGAATGTTTCTTTGAAGTAGTTTAAAAGTGTGCACATGAACAGACAACACATGTACCACTGCACCTAAAACTTCCAAATTTTTATTCTGTCAAAGCAAACCTACCCTTAAGCCCAAAAAAAATCCGAATGTAGAGATATTTAAAGTACAATATAAAAAAAATAAAAAGGACATGGCATTTTGTTTACAGTCACATCAATCCCGGTTCCAACATCAATCAGACAAGATGTAACGGGGAAGCAAGAATAAGAACGGCAATTTTTTTATCAATAATTCAACAAAAATAAAATAACAATTAAGTATAACCAACAATTAATTCTCACCGGAATGACAGAATAGAAACCATTGGGAATCGGTTCTAAGAGCATTCCAGTTTGCCATAATACTTGTGATGCCTTCTGAGATGACAACACATATTGGTCCGAACTTCTAGGTGATTCAGTATTACTCAGTGATTCTTCTTGGGATCCCAAAGAAACAGATCCAAATTTGTCCACGAAATCTGAAGGCCACCATGATGCATTTGGAGGCCCTTGCTCTGCTAGCCCTCTATCATCTCGTGTCTCCTCCATGTCTTTAAATATCTGAAATTTAAAACCATTTCGCCCCCACTTCCTACCCCATAAAAGATGTCTTTAACCTAACAGCATTCCTTACAAAAGAACGAGTTCCAAAATTCAATTGGAATGACTTCTTCAAGCTGGAGGTCATAAGACCTGCAAAATACATGAAGGGACAAAATTTGCCATCAGAGAAAAGGCAATTTAAAAGTAAAATATCAGAGATCACTATAGAAAGGCATGACACTCTTCAGAAGGAAACATCAAAAGTCTAGCAGAATATACAAGAAAAATGAAATCTCGTTCAAGTAAGAGTTTGTCAAAACCATGTAAAATTGCAAAAGTAAAAAAAGCAAGGATATGTACTTTTCAAGTCCACCGCTCAGTCTCACCCTGTTACATCACTATAGTATGTGAACCAAAACAGATATTAAACATCTCTAGTTACTGATCTCACTTGTTGAAAGAAAATTGAGAAAGTAAACAACTAGTTCAACTTTCTTAAATTATGTTTCTTGATATTTATATTTTCTGACCACCAATCCAAAGAAATAATGGATTTTTTTTTCAAATTAATTACAAAAATTTGTACAATTAAAATAAAATAAAATGTAAAGTATTTGATGTTAGTTTTAGCATAGCGAAAAGATCACAAGTCACTATTTAGTGGAGTAAGGATATCTGGTGTCCGGCACAAGACTTTACATGTGCCCCCAACCTAAGTTCTATGTTAGTAAGTAAAACATTCATCTTAAATTTGATATATTTCGCAATCCTGTTTTCTTTTTTCAAGCTTCATGTGTCGTCTTTGACTGGGACATAATATGAGCTCTACTTTACATGTACTTGCTGCTCACACACCTTATACACATCAACCCAAAAAGAAAAAATAACAAAAGATTGCCATAATAAGAAATGAAGGTAGTTGTTTACATCAGAGAAGTGTTGATAGGTGGGGAGAGCTAATGGAGTGGGATAACATGGGAAGGTAGTAGAATGCTGACAAGCTAGATGGATTCACGAAGTTGACAAATTTGCTATAAATAGGCAGAGTATCTGGGTTTTGTTTTTTAAGTTTCAATACTTCTTTACAATATTTATGAACATTCAAATACTTCGACAACCAGCCATTTGAGGAACTCATCTTTACACTATTTATTGAACTCATATTACAATTATTAAAATTCCAGTCATGATACTACATAAGCTAGTTAAAATTTCAGAATAAACTAACATACACTTGCAATTTTCTTCAAGCTCTTTAGTAAATTTTTTGTGGTAAATAATACTATTACTCCACTTGGGAGCAGCCTCTCCATAAAATGGGGGTAAGGTTAGCCGACATTCACCTCTCCCAGACCCTGCGTAAAGCGGGAGCCTTGTGCACTGGGTACGACCTTTTTTAAATAATACTATTACTCCATAATCGCTACTAAACTAGTATAACATACAACTAAAAATCAGCATAACACTTCAAAATCATCCTTCACACACTTCAAAAATCATCCAAAAAGCCTGCATCTTCTGCTACAATTTCTGCCCATTTTTGTCCAACTCAACATCTAGATCAATCAACTTCCTAATCAACTAACTATTTATCACCTCAAACTTTAACACGCGTAGAAGATGAAGAGAAATATTGGAAGCAATCAGGAAACCTAAACACTTTCCCAAGCCACACCAACAGCAATGTATACACGAGTGAAAGCAACCAACATATATAGCCAGCCATCTGCTGTGCGTCCAAATACACCTTCTAGAGTTATGCCTCAAATGAAATTGAACGCAATTAGCAATAACACTAAATACTTTACCAAGTCGCACAAGTAATACACTCTCAATGATGCATCAATTAAAAAAGGTTAAACCCCTCAATTTTAGACATCTATAGCACGGCGATGCTTTGTTTCTCAGTATCCTATCCCTCAGGTCGCACGCATTGGCACCAAACAAGTGCCTATTGGGGGGGGGAAGTACCGCTCCAAAAACACCATTTCAAGAGAAACCGTGTCATAACCTATATTTCCTACTCAAAATCAGTTTTCGTCTTGCATTCAAACTCACAAACAAACCCTCAGCACACAAACAGTTGGATTTTCTCACCTGGACCAGACCAATCTCCATTAGGTGAAGAGGTCTCTGATAACCACCATGTCCACAATCTCAAACATGTACTTCAAATTCCAATTACTTCAAAGAGACCTAATTACACAATGCTCCTCCTCAGTCACTCCAAATCGCAAATTCGGCTACACTCAAAGCCCGCATTTTTTCCACACAAAATCCAAATCTAGCTCCCACTAATCCACCAACACACGATTCGACATCTCAGTAACACTGAAATTCAACCATTTCACAATTTTCACAGAAACAATGCAGGATCAAGAAACCAAGACGAATCGCAACAAAACAAAATTGAAAAGAAAGCAAGAATTTACCACCAGCAGATCCGAGCATTTGAATCCCAATCCCCTCTTTGATGCAGTAGCATTTGAATCTCAATTCCTCCTCATCTCGTATCGTCCCCGACGTCAAACCCTCACAGATTCCAGAAGCAGAAACCAAATTTGTGTACCTGTGTAGACGACGAATACGTAGAGAGTGATGTGAGCGAAATCAAGGATTCAAGAGAAACCTCTCTGGATATATATAGGCTCTCGAAGAGGTGGGATGGGGAGATGAGGGATCCCCATGTTAGCAAAAGATGGGGATGATGCGGGGAGCCCTCCGATCTCTTTAAATTAGATCGTGCGGCTGGGACCAAACGATCTCATTGGCCCGATCTGTTCAAGGATCCTCTTCCTTGTGAACAGAAGACTCTCGTCGATGAAAAGCCGGGCACAGTTTCAATCGACCCGATCGAGAAAGCAAAGGAATTCAAATTCCGGAGGTAATACCAACTGGGTTCCGGTTCGAAGGGGTTCAAATATTTGGGTCTTTTTTTTCTTTTCTTTTTTTTACAGATCCAAAGGTGAAATCTCAATGGATAGTGATTGGAATGGGTTTAGAGTTTTGTTTTATGAACCGAAACTCTTAAATTTCAGCTAAAAATAATTATTTTCGGCTGACGTCAATAGATTTAGTGAATATTCTCGCTCTACCGATTAAATATTAAAAAAAAAATTTATATTTCATTTAAATTAGATGTTAAATATCTTTTCAAATTTCATTTTACTGTCATTTTTATCTAAAGTAGTCGATATGATCTCAGTATATCAGTTGATATTCACAAATTTACATATTTATACCAATATTTTAAAGATAATTTTAATGAAAAACTCTCAGTATTGTTTATTTTAACGAAAAATCATATTTTTACCTTAAAAGATCATGATACTATTTATTTTACTTTTATTTTATTCTTATCACTAAAATTCAAAATTTTCTATCCTTTTTTATTAGTTTTTTTTTTTAAATACTATGCGTTACATCATTTTTCTTTTGGGGTAAACTAACATGTGTTACATATATATATATATATAGGAATTGCTTAAGGGAGGGATCCTCATTTTTTCAAAAAAATAGGGACACGCTCCCCACCGTTGGATTTGAATTAAATGAAATCATGTGATTGAGATTCTATGGCCTGTGTTTTAATCTCAACCACACAATTTCATTAAAGTCAATCTAACGGTGGGGAGCGTGTCCCCATTTTTTTTGAAAAAATGAGGATCCCTCCCCTAAGCTCCTATATATATATCAGTTTCTGAATACCTTGTCCAAATTAGATTCATATGTGGTTTGTAATTCGATTTAATTTACGTTTGGTTCTGGGTTGTGAGGGAGGGGTTACTATTCCGAATCCATTCTCCAGAAAAGTAGAACTGGGAAACCCAAACGATCCCAATTCAGGAGAAACCTCGCTGCAAACGGGGACGAAACGAAGGAGAGAGAAGAAAGCGATGGGGGTTTTGGAGGGAGAGAGGAGGGAGAGCGAGGGGGTAAGTCACGTGCAGAGCGAGGGTGGGCTCACCAACGTTAACACCATCATCCGCGTGAAACACCTTTCTTTACAAACCTTTCTTTTCATATTACATTACTCAATATTAATAACGACCAACAAGACCAATATGGCATTATCGACTCAAAGAGAAAAAGACGTCTGCGCTCTATCACAATAATAAAAAAGGAGTTTAAACTTTATATTAGGGTGTAAGTTTGAATTACGTCAGCTTTTTAATTTAATATTTACTCTAACAAATTTATCGTTCAATTAAAAAAAAAAAGATGAAGTCTTCTTTCATGAGAGATTTTTTATTCTGTCGAAAATATAGTCAAGTACCTTAACTGTCATAATACAAATAGTAGAATATTTGAAGAAAAAAAATTAACTATCTGTATTATGATACTTGATGAATAGGACGATGTTCCCTACACGTTATCTTTATTTTCTACACACATTTATTAATTTATGTCATTTGATATTCTTCAATCTCTTCAGTTCGACAATCAGAAATTAAGAAAAATGTGTAAAAAATAAAAATAAATGTATCTTAAAACTAAAAATAAGTGTGTACATGACACTATAAAAAGTTAGAAGGGTGAAAAGTAATAGAAGATGTAAGTTGGCCAAACAACAACCAACCACAACCAAAGACTACCTGTCTTCTACCACCACCTGTAATTTAGCGTCCCAACGGGTACGGTTTTGGTGGACCAAATCAGTCAATGCTTTAGCGGAGCAAGTGATTTCAAACCTGCAACTTCTACGTATTCAGCACGTGCCCTTTTTCAATTAGGTGTCAAGTTGTTGATATGCTATTATTCAACTGTATTAGGCTCCTTGTCTTACAATTTGTATCCCCAAATCTAGCCCTTCACTCGTTTAACAATTCTATAGACCAGGAGAGATTTTTCTAATATGTTTGAAATACAAAACGGTACGTTATAATATAAGTGGAGGAATTTTTTTTTTTTTAAGTGACTATCCGCTTGTATAATGAAATATGACGTATATGTTTGTATTCTGGGCACACACTGAAAAATATTTCATTGACTAGGTATATTTTGAGTTAACCAAGGCATATGCCATGAGTCTTGCCTCGGACAAGACGTTACTAATTGCTGATATGCATTCATGCGTGCATTGCGTGCTCATTTTTTATGTATGATGTCGTGTGAGTGACTATTAACCGTAAATGTATATACAAAGAGAATCAATAATGGGACTCTTAAGTCATAAACGCTTGTAAGAAAATAATCTATAGTGGAGCTCTTAACTGTAGATTGAGAATTTCGTACATGAATTAGTCAAGTTTTAGTAATTATGGGGTGGATGTGATGATCATTTTTGGTTTTATTGCATTCTTTTCATATTGATTGAATATCTATTGCTATATTAAATAAGGTTTAAAGATTGGTTTAGTAGTTTCTTAGGGTTAAATAATTTATTCCTCACTCATTTAGGGTGTGTTTGGTATGCGGAATGGAATGTGAAATAATTTTTCATATCTTTTCTTAGGGACAGGAAACACATTTTTCTATGAGAAATTTTATTTAAACTTATCTAACCTCTTTCTACACTCAACTTACTTTATTCACCCATACTATTTTTATTAAAGAATTAATATCTCTTTAAACTCAAATTTATTACCTAAACTACCATCTCAAACCCAATTCAAAATGTAAAATTATCTTTACACTAATTCCCTTTATAAAATAACATCTCTAATTGAATGTTTTTTCTTTCAAAGAGGCGTCCTTGACCCCTCTATAATTGCATATGCCGTATAGGACCAGCATTTCCATGGCTGCTTTTTTTCTTTCTGCTACCACAACCCTTCCATGGACTTGGGATCCAAGAGATCATTCCATAGACTTGAATTTGCCAAGAGTATGTTATACAAGCTCCAGTTCAATCTTTTTTAAATCGAGCATTTTCATGTACTTTTTAAGAAACTTTGAGGTGACATAGGATAGGACTGGGTGTTTTGCTGCTATGTTAATAAACAAATAAACAAATTGGAGCTATTTCGAATAAAAAAGGTGCAAGACATTCCACCAGCTAGTTCGTGGTTAAGGTTGAGCGATCTTTATTTGCACCAAGAATCAAGTTTTAAGTCTTTGCAGTACCAATCAAAAGTCCTTGCAATGGTGTTTTGGGGCGCATACAGATTGCAGAGAAAAACAAATACAATATAATATAAAAAGTATGAAATTTAATCCAAAGAAGAAGCAAACAAACAAAATATCTATAAATCGAGTTATACCTTAGTTGGAGGATTAAAAACTTCAAAATCACCATTCATCAAATAGAAAAGCTTGTTTTTCTCTATCAGAGCTATTATTGTTTTAGTCCGAATGAACGTAAGATAAACAAAGAGTGATGCTAGGGTTTAATTATAGTATGTGGGTCTATTGATAAATTTCATTTTTATTATTAATTTCATTTTGTACTTAATACTAATTATGCAATAGGATAAAATAGACAATTAACATTTAAAATTTAAGTTAGGTGTAGAAAGAGGTTAAATGAGTTTAAATGAAATTTTCCTTTTCGTATTATAAAGATAGGAAAATAATATATGAAATTTAGGGATAAAATTGTATTTTTATTTCTTACTAGGATTATTATTAGCAAAAAATATGAAAAAACTAAATTTGAGTACGAAGAGTTATTGTTAGCATAATTGGTTTTTCAATATGTAATGAGGATAATTTTGTCTTAAAAATGTAATTAATGTTGTAAGTGCGCAATAAAGTACAGGAAATGCCCTCATTTCCCACCACTAATTACAATTTTTTTCAAGCCTCATTTCCCGCATACCAAACATAGTCTAGCGTATATACATCATTTGTAGTTTAGTCGGTTACAATGAAGAAAATATCGGTAATATCGGAAATATAGGTAGTCCGAAAATACGGAAATATCGATGAAAATATCGGGATAATATCGATATCGATAAAAATTACATAGAAACCACGAAAATTGTAAGAAAAACATGGAAATTTTTATTGAAACTTTGCAGGATGTTTATTTAGTCAATTATCTATTAGTTTATCACCAAAAATTGGAAGGAAATGCATTGCATGATTGATTTAACATTATCAAGTTGATTATATAGCGAGCTGACAAACATTGTGAGTGTAGAAAATATGTAGTAATTAATGAAAGAAGTTTAAACACACCATAATCATTTATATATAATGAATTAGTACAATATTTTACACTTTATACATTGCATTTTTGGTTCTTCTCTGACAGAATTTGGTCTTCACGTGGAGAAGAAGATAAAGTAAGCAGATTTTTTGGTTATTCTCTGACAGAATATTTGGTTCTTTTTAGCAAAGTCACTTCCAAATCTTTCATACAAAATCGTGTGCCACACACACACACCCTCAAAAGTTTTTTTCTTTTTCTCTCGGATAACACACACACACACACACATAACCACACACACACACACACACACACACACACACACACACAAAACCATGGTTTCATACAAAACCGTGTGCCAAAACCGTGTGCCACACACACACACACACACACACACGCACACACACAATCTCTCGATCCTTCTCCCTCATTCCACACACACACGCAAACACACCCTCCCTCTCCTTGTTTCTTCTCCAGTTCTCCCCCCATCTCTTTTATGCATCTCTCCTTCCCAGATGAGACAGACACACACACACCCCACTTCCCCGTGTTTCCCCCTTCCCCAATCCCTCGAACCTTCTCCCTCATTCCTCTCCTTGTTTCTTCTCCCCCAATTTCAGCAACTCTCATTCCCGGAGCACAGCCACACCACACCCACACGAGGCAGAGGATCCATCAAACCCGAGCGGGTTTTGGGATCCGGAGAGAAGGGATTGCGGATTTTGATGGGTCTGAGCGCGGATTGCAGAGAGAGGCGCAAATCTTGGCAGCTGCGACGACGGAGCCTTGGCTACAGTTTTCTGACGACGGAGCCTCGGCAATTTTGTCGATAATATCGAAAATATCGCGATATTATCACGAAAACCATTTGGATAGTTATAAAA